GATCTATTATTTATGAGAACTTACCTTTTAGAACAATATGGTTAAACAGTAGGAGAAATAAAGAACATTACCAATACTTTATCGTTTTCTATGTGAGCAGATGAATACAGTAATATTAAAATACTATTTCTATGAGGCAGCAAAAAACATATATTAATTCAGCACCAACCAGGTACTAAGCCTAAATAGGATGAAAAGTACAAATATAATTTATAAAATATGATCCCTTCTCTCTAGATGCTTACAAACTGTTCGATAGAACATCAGAAATATGAAAAATAGAAACATGCTTAATTGCCAAAGGCATGATAAAATGGTATGTAGCTAATAAGAACAGATAAGAAAAGGAGATGATTCCTGGAAAATGCAGTCTAAAATATAGTAGGTAGAAATATTTCCAAATAAATTATGTAAATCTGCTTTAAAAACATTTTTTAAAAAAAAAGATTGACAGAATACAAATAATTTAATTAACACATTAAGCTTAGCATTCTGCAAAAATACAAAATGGTTTCTAGCTTCCAAAAATTACACCTCTATCAACAAATTAGCCACAATTAGACAAGCATATTCCACTACCAAATATTGGATCTGCAAAAATCCAAATGTTATGGATATATGCAAAGGAGGTAATCCAAGCAAACTCAACACCATTCTTAAACATGATTATCCATGAAAGCTTGAAAAACCCACACAAATTATGCCAAAAAGAAAAGAAATCCCACACAAAAAACAATAAATGGATATTCCAGCATCTTACCTTAAGAAAAAATATACTGGAAGTAGAAGCATTCTTATAAGAATTTATTTTTTTGATACCTAGCCAAATTTTAATGCCATATTCAAAATGAAAAATAAATATCTAGTCATAGTAAGTAAAATATAGTTAAGCTATGAAACTTTATTACACTCAGTACTTGTAATATTAACCCTTAACTTTCACTTAACATGTTCCTAATTGCTACCACCAAATTCACAAAGTAAATATAATAACAGGTATAATCCTCCTGTTCACTTTCGGAATGTCTTAGAATACCCGCTGTTGCAACAGGAAAGGTTTATAGACATTTGTCAATTTTGGCTTTAAACAAATAGTGTATTTGCTAACTGATGCCTGAAAGACCCATCATTATTCAAACACAATCACCATTTCCTTTCCAATTAAATACAATATCACATGATCTCACTCATTTATGGATAATAAAGACCATTATAAACTGATGAACAAAAATAGATACAGGGGCAGAGCAGCATCGAACAGACTGTCAAACTACAGCGGGAAGGCTGGGGAGGGTTGGGGGGCGAGAGGGGGGCGGTAAGAGATCAACCGAAGGACTTGTATGCATGCATATAAGCATAACCAATGGACACAAGACACTGGGGGGTAGGGGAGGCCGGGGAAATGTCAAGGGGGGGGGAGGAGACATATGTAATACTCTTTGTAATACTTTAAGCAATAAAAAAATTTTTAAAAAAGAAAAATAAATAAATATAATATCTAAATTTATGCTACATAATATGTTTTCAAACAAGTTCCTTTTTATAATTATGGGAGAAGCCATGAGAACTATTCTACTAACAACTTCAAAATCATCAAAAGTTTAACAAAATATAAACATTAAAAATCAACATGACAGAAACTGCCATAATATTGTGGAAAATTAAAAGAATAATACAATGAATACTTCCACCTAGATTCAATATTTGTGAGCATTTTGCTGTCTCCTACCTCCTGCCATACCTCCTCCTCTCTCCCTCTCCTATCATTCTATCTGTCCGTCCATCCATCCATCCACCCATCCATCCATCCATCCATCCTCCCATCCATCCACCCTGTTTATTTCAGACAAAGCCCCCAGAAATTAAATATATTAATACTTCTAAAGAAAAACAAATTATACTATATAGACTATAAATAGTCATACAGCCATATAAAGACTATAAATTCAGTTCACATTTTGTCACAAATGGGTTCAGATAGATCAGGTTGTATCCCAAATGAGATTTCTTTTAATGTTTTGGTTTTCAAAGTTTTGGATTTGAAAAATGGGAAAGGATGGCGGGCAGTAGTATTATCCCTATATTACAGAGGAGGAAACATTAAATAATTTATTCAAAACTAAAATAAGTAGCAAAACCAGAAGTGAAAATAAGCAAACTACTCCAGAGTAGTTAAAAGCACTGCTCTAGGAAGCCTCCAATCCCAGAGGAAATCCTTGAGACCTTCTTTTTCTTTATCCAGAATCTGAACCCTCACCCCTAATTCCATTGCTTCCCTCCTAATCTGAGTCACTTGGTTTACTGCAACAGCCTACTAACCAGGCTACCTGATTCTTCTACCTACTTAATAGTAAAAGCCAATGTTCTTTAAAATAGCATACAAGAACCTATAGGTTCTGGACCCTCTCATTTATCTTAATATCTGTTATCACATCTACTACTCCCTCTCTCACTCCACTCCAGCCTCACTGGTCTCTACGCTGCCCTGGTCTCCACGCATGTTCCCAGTTAGGAACCTGGCACTGACTATTCCTCCTGCCTGGCACACATTTCCTCTGTATCTTAATGACTTCCCCTCACTCCTCCAATATCACCTTCCAATGAGGCCCACACTATCACTCTATTTAAAATTGCAACTGCCCCCTCCAAAGCAACTGACACTTCGGATCCCCTTGTTCCTGCTCTACTCTTTCTTTCTCCTAAACACTTAACTACCTGCAAACATTCTAGACAATATACTTATTTCTTATTTTCCTGTCTTTTGTACTTAGATTTATACATATACCAAAGTATCCCCAGTCCTTAGAAAATCATCTAGTATATAAGTGCTCAAAAATAATTGTTGCTATTGAGATTTCTATGTCAATTTCAACCTAAGCTCCTCCACATTTCTTATAGTTGTTAGCATTTCTCAGAATCTCTCAGAAAAGTTAGAATTTCAATAAATATACTTAAATTGTATTTTAAAATAGCCATGTTTTATCCAATTATGCTTTGATTAAGATTCTTTATGTAGAATTATATTTTATAGACATGGACAGATGTTATGACGTCACTCAGAGAAGACAATAAAGTAGGTAACAGTTTATATATATAGTATGATCCCTTCTATAAGCAAAAACAGTATGTATTTGTGTATATCAGGGTTTGGGGCATGATGACATTAGGTATTTAAAAAATATTTTTCCATGTGTATATTTGCATTTTCTCTTTTTTTCATCAATATGTATTATTTGTATGATTAAAAAATAATATACAGCCCTAGCTGGTTTGGCTCAGTGGATAGGGCATTGGACTATGGACTGGAAGGTCCTGGGTTCGATTCCAGTCAAGGGCACATGCTCAGGTTACAGGCTCGATCCTCAGTAGGGGCGTGCAGGAGGCAGCTGATCAATGATACTCTCTCATCATTGATGTTTTTATCTCTCTCTCCCTCTCCCTTCCTCTCTGAGATCAATAAAAATATATTAAAAAAAATAAAAATAAAAAAATAATATATAGTCCTGGCTGGTGTTTTTAAGTGGTTAGAGTGCCGGCCCACACATCAAAGGGTCCTGGGTTTGATTCCTAGTCAAAGGCATGTACCTGGGTTGCAGGTTCTATCCCTGGCTCCAGTCAAGGTGTGTGTGGGAGGCAACCAATGGATGTGTCTCTCTCACAGTGATCTCTCTCTCTCTCTCTCTTTCTCTTTCTTCCTCTCCTACCCTTCCTCCCTCCCTTCCACTCTCTCTGAAAAGCAATGGAAAAATTATCTTCAGGTGAGGAATAACAACAACAAAAAGAATTAGCCACATCACCCCTTGTATAAAGAGAAGAAGTAGATCAATATTTATAGGTAGTCTGTTAAATGATACTAATAGCACATATCTATTGCATTATATAATGGCTATTTTAACAGTGAATACAAATTTTCTTTCATAGAAAGGACAAGATTTAGAATTTAGCTGGCAAATGTATTGTGAGGAATAATTTTTTGAGGTATATGAGTAGTGTATTATTTTTATTTTGTTAATTCTCACTGAAGGATATTTTTTTCCCATTGATTTTTAGAGAGAGTGGAAGAAAGGGAGGGAAAGGGAGAGAAAGAAAGAGAAACATTTGTGTGAGAGAGACACATCAACTAGTTGCCTCCTGCACATACCCTGACCGCCCTGACCAGGGCGGGGAGCAAACCCACAACTGAGGTACTTGCCCTTGACTGGGAATGGAACCCACAAACCTTTGGTAGGAGGGGCCCTCACTCTAACCACTTAACGACACTGGTCAGGGTCTAGTTCTTTTATTTATACAAAGGGTAACATGGAATAGGTATGCTAAATACTACTACATTCGTATATCTATGTAAAATCCACATATTCAATCTAACTTTCAATGACAATGCTTTTAGTAGGCTTTTATATTTTTAGTATAAACTTATAAACATTTCTCTTTGTCTTTAAATTCATTAATATATTGAATAAAGTGAAGCTGTAGATTTAGAAAAACTGTATTGATCATTAAAGGTAACTATTATTTCACTTAAGGGAAATCAACAAAAAAACTACTTGAATGCCAACACTGATTTTAGAAAACAGTAGTCTACCATTTTCACAAAAATTTCAAATCTTTGCTTTAACCTATAAAATATATACATACGGAGCTCCAGTGGCGCAATCGGTTAGCATGCGGTACTTATAAAATATATACTTAATAGTGATAATTAACATCTTAAAGACAAGTTTAATTATGAGCAATTATTCTCTTTCCAAATAAAAAACAAGTTCATTTACTCTCTGTAAAAGGAAACCTAAATTGGTTTAGAAATACTTTCCCCTTATCTTAAATCTAGAAAGAAAATACTATGTTTTTAATGTTATATATGTTTATATTTAATGTCCTTTTAAATAAAATTTGATTTAGATTTTCCAAAGTTCAATTCCATTCAATATTTTATTGCAAAACCTTTACAAAAAATAAATAAATAAGGACATGAATTGTATTTAAAATAAAAGTTTACATACCCTGGTTTCCGAAAAACTAAACTATATTGCTGGCAAGCCAGACCCACAGTGGGAGTATAAACAATAGGCATGAACTTCTCAATGTCAGACATAAGCACTCGATAAAAGAGCTTTTCATTTCTATCTTGAAGATCCATTAAGAGAAGATACCTGTGGAAAATGGACAAAATGAGGTCTATATTCCAACAAAGCCATGAAATAGCTGCTTAGAAATCTTATTAAAGATTTTTCAACAAAGTATTAAGAACTTTTTAGGTCACACAGGAAACATCTGATCAAAAAAAACACTTCAGAAATATTCTTAAATACCTCAAAGAATGAAGAACCATAAACCTCCTCGAATGTCATTCAAATATTAAAATAATTGCTAAAACAGAAGTTTTACTTAATATTTAAAATGACTTTATCCCTATTTTAAAATGAAAGAATGATGAAAATACCATTATACATATAGCATTAACTTTAAGTAAACACAGAGACTTCATCCTTTAACCTTCAGTGCTGAATAACCAAGGGAAATAACAAATGAAAAATGAGTAAGGAATATAGCACCAACCTTAAAAATTACTAAGGTAGCGAGAAAGTTCAAGGGACTTTTCTTATTATTTGTATCAAATAGTTTTTCTTTCTAGAGGCATTTTTGACCCAGACTTATCTTTCTAAGCATCAAACGTATCATGTTACCTGGAGCCTTCAATGGTTTGTAAAATAAAACTCAAATTGTTTGGTATAATTTAAAAGAATATTTTAAGATTGTACTTAGTAATCTTACCAGCCTTTTTGGATTGATTTCCATTCCCTGAAGTAGTTTAAAATGCACAGCATTTAGTGTCAGACATACAGGATTCTAATGCTGGGCAAATAGATAGGTTATGCTAACCCAAAAAATTAAAATTTAGGAAGAAGATGATGACTTTTAGACATGCTAAAATTGATTTAGCAAATGTGTAAGTCCTCATTGCTAAATCAAAGATCAACCCTCAGACCTCATTTTATTTATCAGAACATTTGACTCAAGTGGCACTCCCTATAAGTCAATAAATGCTCTTTACTTGACTTCTAGGACATCATATTCTCTTCATTTTCTTTCTACCTCACTAGTTTCCTGTTTCTTTGCAATTTCTTTTTTGTTTCTTTTTGCTGTTTTCTCTTCTCTGCAAGGTCTCTAATACATTAGGCTTTACTTTCAACATATATCCAAAATCTAAACACCTTCATTGCTACCACACTGGGTCTAAATCACCATCATCTTTTGCTTGGATTATTATAATAGTCTCCTAAACATTCTTCCAGCCTACATTCTATTCTCAACATTGCAGCCATTCTCTTCTTGAAATGTAGCTCAGATGATGTTGATTTCCTGTTCAAAACCTTGAAAGGCTTCCCTTTTCACTCAGATTAATAGCAGAAGTCCTTTCTTGGCCTTCAAATACATAATCTATCCTCTATTACCTTGATAACTTCCTTTCCCAACCTACCATTCTTCCCCTCACTCATTCTATTCCTGGCACAGGTATCCCTACTGATCCTCATACCAGAAAAAGAATATAAAGTAAAAACATAAGCTGAAGGAAGAACTTAAGTAACAAGTGCAAGAGATTGTGGAGAGGTTTAAGAAGCAGGAAAAATACACAACTGGACAAGCTGAGTCAGTCTTTTTCTCTGGCTGCCCGACATCACCCATGGGCTCATGAAAAAAGTGGCCATGGCAGGAATGGAGGTTATCACGGGCTCGGCAATATGGACTTCCAGTCACTAAGGCTGACCTGCCTTTAGACTCTCCTGAGTGCCCAATCTGCCAGAGGCCAACACTGCATGCTGATTGGGTGCCATTCCACGGGGTGATCAGCAAGCCACCTGGTGGCAGGTGATTACATTGGACTGCTTCCATTATGGAAGAGGCAGCATTGTAGTTACTGGAATTGACACTTACTCTGGATACAGATTTGCCTTCCCTACACACAATGCTTCAGCCAAAACTACCATCTGTAGACTTACAGAATGCCTTATCCACCATTATGGTATTCCACAAGGCATTGTTTCTGATTAAGGGACTCACTTTAGAGCAAATGAAGCATGGCAATGGGCCCATATTCATGAAATTCACTGGTCTTACCATGTTTCCCCACCATCCTGAAGCAGCTGACTTGACAGAATGGTGGAATGGCCTTCTGAGGTTCAGTTACAGCACCAGCTAGGTGGTAATACCTTGCAAAGCTGAGGCAAAGTTCTCTAGGAGGCTATGAATCCGTGTCCAGTATGATGCTATTTCTCCCATAATCAGGATTCACAGGTCCACGAACCCAGGGGTAAAAATGGAAGTGGCACCACTCACTATTATCGCAGTGACCCACTAGCAAAATGTCTGCTTCTTGTCCCCATGACTTTATGCTCTGCTGGCCAATAAGTCTTAGTTTCAAAAGGAGGGATGTTTCCACCAGGAGACAATTATTCCATTAGATTGGAAATTAAGATGGCTACTAGCCACTATGGACACCACATGCCTCTGAATCAATAAGCAAAGAAGGAAGTTACTGTGCTGGCTAGGGTGAGTGATCCGGCCTACTAAGGGGGATTTGGACTGCTTCTCCATTATTAGTAGTAGTATTCTCTTTAGTAAAAAGGAATTCTGCAAGCAGTCTGCCTTTAGACTCGAACTGCAAGTCTTTTCTTGTTCTCCAGCTGCCAGTCTACCTGCAGACTTAGGACTTAACCAGGCTCCACAATCATGGGAGCCAATCCCTTGAAATAAATATATATCTCCATCCAACAGGATGTAATGTGTGTGTAAGTGTGTGTGTGTGTGTGCGCGCACACACACAACACATATATCCTGTTGCTTCTGCTTCTCTGAAGACCACTAGAAAACCCTGACTAATACAAATACTTACTTGGTATTGAGTTAGCTACCTCTTCTAAACTTCACAACAATATTATGAAATAACTATTCTCTTCAATCCATAAATAAAAAACCTGAGGTTTAGTGCCTAAATAAGGGAAGAGTCCAAAGCAGAGGGCAAGGCATACAGAGTGGTCCTGACAGTGGTTGTGATGGTTTGCTCGAGGCCCCAATGCTAGTGAAACACAGCCAGAATTTCAACCTAGGGCTATCTCATTACAGAGATAGGGCACACGTTACCTTTATCTCTGTGCAAACATGGAAACTGAATTCTAAACACAGTAAGTGACCTAAATTCGCACTAGCATTAGAACCAGGTTTAGAAGTTGAAAAAGTGCATCCAATATGCACTCATAGTCTGACTAAAAGCCACTTTAACCTGTTTTGCTCTGTTCAGGATGGCATTTCCTGATAACTTACCTTTATAGCAACAATTTTATCACAAGAGCAAAGTAGTCTCTCTGAGGATAACAGTTTGGAAAGGAAAATTTTATTCCTAAATGTTCCTAAAAAGGTAAATTTTTAAAAACATCATTGTATTTATAGGCAAATTCTCCTCAAAGTTGACTACTTTTTCCAAATCACTAAATATTTTAACTTTCTCATCTAATAAAAATTAAAATAAACAACTGCCTAAGAGAAATATAAAATGTGTTACCTGTCAAAGTCAGAGTTCAGACGCTCACAATTTTTAATTATTCTAAGAACTTGGATATCCTGATTGATGAAGCCAGGTGGCAATAATCCATGAATATTCAATAGTTGTCTTTCTTCCAGGGTAAAAGCCAATTCCTATGGAAAAAAGAAAGACAATAACTTAAGGAGAAAAAAAGAGAGAAAAAGCATATATTTACAAAAATAACATCCAACAGGTATATGGAATTAAGTCAAACGTAGCCATTTGACTGTGAGTAGACCATGTAACCTCTCAATTCCTCAGTTTCTTCAACATTAAATATTAGAATACTGTAACATTTTCAGATCTGTGTCACTCACATATTGTTAAGATGAAATTAGGTAATAGGGAAAATGAGTTGAAGACATACAAATGACAGATATAAATATCATTATTAATATCATTAAATATAAAAATGAATAGGAGTTATTATAAGAGACTTTTAAATTATGAACACGAGTAGGTCATCTTTAAATAGGTCAGGTAATGCCTGATATAAGATTGAGGCACCTGTTCCAACACTCTATTCCCAAGTATTCTTATACTATTCTTATACACCCCTAACCACACAAAACTTCTTGTCATTTCCTGAACACACCTGAAAACGTTTTATTCTTCCATGACACTATGGTCAAGAATATATTTCTTCCCTGCTTCTCTGCCCTTCAAGCCTTACCTTAAATGCTCTATCTTCTCTAAAGCCTTCCCAGACTCACCCAGTATATCCATTAGAATCCTATTATTACACTTATGCTATGTTACCTATTTACATGAACACTGATTGCATAAAACAATAGTAAAGAAATTATGAGGCTTGAAAACAAGAAAACGAAATAGAACTGATGGGCTGATGCAAAGACCCAGAATGGACCTAAGAGATTTGTTGGGAAGGAGTAGTACTACAAGGGGTAGTAATAGCAAGAGAAACCCCAGCAGTCATTAATCTTGAAGACGGGAATGAGCAATTCCCCCTGGAGAAAGGTCTCCCCTGGAGATAGGTCTCCTGGGGATTTCCAAGAGGCCTCTCTGGTTAGACTGTGGCTGCTGTGCCTATGGGTCTGGCAAAATTGCAGCAACATGATGATGGTCAGGTTCGCTCTTTGTGACCACTGCTGATGTTTCTTAGACAACCTGGATGAGTAGGAATGCATTCACTAACTTTGTGTTGGACAATTCTACAGCCATCCTCCTTTGCCCCAAAAGTTTCTTATGATGGCAAAAGAGTGACTCCCAAATCTTCGGGAAGTTTATTACTCTGGGAAAAGGACAGACAATTTGGTTCATCCCTGAGGCTGACAGATCCTGAGTGCCGAGAAATGAATATGTCCAACCTTAGGAAGTAGGTGAAGGAGGTCAATGAATGAACAACTCTCTATTTCTTCTATTTTTTAAAATACAGATAAGCCCATTAATTCATGTCACTGATAGAAAGCCTTATGTTTGGACTCCTGGGAGCAGACTGAGGAAAGGCAAATAGATTTGTCCACTGAATGATCCCTGACCGCTGGTGGAGCTCTCGAAGTTGCCTACAAGAGCTAGCTGGGACAAATAGCTCCTTCTGACTTCTCAAAAGGTCTCCAGGTGCAATCAGTAAAGCTGGTGTCGCTACAAGATGTTTCTCTCCACTAGCAGACATTCTCATTACTGCAAAATTCCCATTGTTACATGCTCGGCTGGAGGTCCTCTGGGGCTCCAATATGTGTGGACAGCAGCAGAATGGTTCCTCTCCAAGAGGATAATCCAGTGTGACCATCTGTGCCTGCCCCATCACCCTCTCTTGGTTACCTGGAGAAAAGCAAGCAGACCAGTGCAGCCTGTCAGTTCCTTGCCTAGGAGTTTCAGCAGAAACCAGGACTCCACTGCGGTGTTGCTGGAACCTTTCACATGCCATTTGCTTTTCTACTTGTCATTTGTGTCCCCATGCCAGAATGCAAATGCCATGATGTCAGAGAACTTGTCTGTTTTTTCCACTCTTTATCTTTCGTGCTTAGAACAGGACCTGGCATAATTAGATTTCAGGAATTTACTGCATAAACAGTAAAGTTTTAAATGTTTAATTTTAGAGATTTACATTAAAATTTTAAGAACACTAAAATTGCTGCTCAGAAAACTGATTAGCATATAGACTCTGGTACAATTACATTTAACTATAAAGCAACTGGAAAGTGATATATGCATAAAAAGTAACTATAAAGTAGAGAGCATATTTCACTTTCTAAAGATATAGCTGGGAAGACTGATCATTTAAAGCAAAATGCCACGAAATAACTATTTGAAATGACACAGAATTATGTAGAGTAATATATTTGAAAAAGAAAGAAAAAAAACTCAAATTTTTCTCAACTTGAAATGAAAAATTTGGAAATTAAAAATGGGGGAAAAGCTAGGCTAAGGTTAGTCTCAAAAATACATGATTATCTGTAAAGAAACAGTAAACTTCTGAATGTTATGCCTTGAAAATCTGCCTGCAAATATAATAATCAAAATATCAGGCTAAGGCTTATTATCATTCACTTAATAATGGCACTTAACTATCATTTGTTGATGTAGTTAGCTAGTCTTTTTACATAAATTTTCCAGTGAAAGTATATGTAACTAATTTCTAACACTAACAGGTCTCCCATATCTTGTGCCATGTAAATGATAATGTCATCTGGATATCTCTTAATATCCTTTTATGTTTAGTAACTACAAACTCCCATACACTGTTAGCAAAATTTTCCAAGACTGAGTAAAGAGCCAATTAAATTCTATAAAAACAACAACAAAAACCCACCCAGAGTTTAGAAATCTGGGGAACTAGGCCAAGTTAAATTCCTGTAATTGGATTCATATTCTATTACTACCCTTTATGATTTTTAAAAAATAAATGAATAAGTAAAGTTAAATCTTAAAGTCCCTGAAAATATAAAAATATATATGGTATGATTTCATTTAAACCACAGTTTTTAAGAATTACTCATCAATGTGATCCTTACCAACCAGCAGCTTCCCAAAATGTATTTAGAGAAAAAGTGGAATTTTGAACCATTTAACAATCCTGGCTATATGTTTCATTTTTTCATACTAACAGAAACATATTCATAAGCATATTTTTTGCAGTCAAGCCTATCTTTGTTTTAATAATTATTATTGAATGTATTACATATGTCCCCTTTTTCCCCCACTGACCCCCTCCAGGACCCACCCCACCGAAGGCCTTCAGCACCCTGTCTGTGTCCATGGGTTATGCATTATATACATACAAAGTCTTTGGTTGATTACTTCCCACCCACCCACCCTCCCCCACCTTCCCTCTGAGATTCTGCATTCTGTCCCATGCTTCCATGTCTCTGGATCCACTTCATTCATCAGTTTATTTTGTTACTTAGATTCTACATATGAGTGTGATCATGTAATACTTGTCTTTCTCTGAATGACTTATTTCACTTAGCACGATACTCTCCAGGTCCCTCCATGCTGTCTCAAAGGTTAAGATATTCTTTTTTTACAGCAGCATAATATTCCACTACGTAGACATACCACTGTTTTTTAATCCACTCATCTGCTGATGGGCACTTAGGCTGTTTCCAAATCTCAGCTATTGTAAATTGTGCTGCTATGAACATAGGGGTACATATATCCTTTCTGATTGGTGTTTCTAGTTTCTTGGGATATATTCCTAGAAGTAGGATTACTGGGTCAAATGGAAGTTCCATTTTTAATTTTTTTGAGGAAACTCCATACTGTTCTCCACAGTGGCTGCACCAGCCTGCATTCCCACCAGCAGTGCACGAGAGTTCCTTTTTCTCCGCATCCTCGCATCCTCGCCAGCACTTGTCGTTTGTTGATTTGTTGATGATAGCCATTCTGACAGGTATGAGATGGTACTTCATTGTTATTTTGATTTGATCTCTCGGATGATTAGTGACTTTGAGCATGTTTTCATATGTCTCTTGGCTTTCTGTATGTCCTCTTTCGAAAAGTGTCTATTTAGGTCCTTTGCCCATTTTTTGATTGGATTGTTTGTCTTCCTTTTGTTAAGTTGTATGAGTTCCTTATATATATTTTGTGGAAATTTATAAACAACTCAGTTCTATCTAAAACTTGACAGCAAAATGCCAGTTTTATACATTCTTATTAAAAGCTGATGTAATATACAAATGTTTAAAGAATGTTTACCTTAGGGTTATCCTGTAGGGTCTATCCAACAAAGAATAGTGTATCTAAAGCATGCAGGTTTAAACTTTCATTGGATTTCTACTGCGTCTTTCATGTAGTTGAAAAGCTTAGACATCCATACTCATATTGGGTTTCCAGAACATCTATAATTCTAGTTCCCTAAAAGCATTTTCATACACTCTAGGTTCAACTCTGGTTTTCTCCTTTTTCTGTCTTCCTTTTACTTTCCCTACTCCCTAAAAAACCTTTTGGACTAGATCCCTAGCAGAATGGTATGTTGTTTCACTGCTGAGGGCAGAAACAGGACAACTATTCTTCTGGACTTTACTAATTAATCTATGTATATCTTTTTGAGAAAACCGAGATTATCAAACAGATAGAAAAAAAAATTCCTGGCATAACGAGAAACATATTAAAAACCATTTCTGCATCGAGCAAACATAACAGAGAAAGAAACTAGTTTTACCCTGAGTAATTTATCAGAAACGGTTACCATTAAAAACAGAGTATATTCAGTATTCTATACTAAGCATCTTTAATGTTTCCAGTGAACTTTAGTAGTTTGCCTTCTTTTCTCCTGAATAATGATTAAAAATAATCAGGCTGAATGGCAAAAAACAAAAAAAGCATCTAAATCACAAAATTTTTAAGATGACCGGTAGGTTAGTTTGCTGCTGGGGTCTGGCCAATCAGGACTGAGCAAGATGGGCCAGACATGCCCTGGAACCCTCCTGCGGTCCCTCCCGGCCCCAATCGTGCACTGGTGGGGTCCCTTGGCCTGGCCTGCGTCCTCTCACAATCTGGGATCCCTCAGGGAATGTCAGAGAGCTGGTTTCAGCAGATCCCACAGGCCACTCCCCTCGGGAGGGCACCAGATACTGGCAAGTGCTGCTGCTGTGGTGGTGTGAGCCTCTCCCAGTCAGGACTGATTGGGTGCGAGACTGTGGCAGGTGCA